AGGGGAGCTTTTGCTGGGGGTGGTCTAGTCTGTGTGCGGGGTGGGGGGCTGGGTTCGAAGCAGGAATGAGATGGGTTGGTGTGGCGGTGTCGCCGCTCCCCTCCGGATTTTAGGTTCACTTATTGGGTCATCCGATAATCCCGGGACCAACCACCGGTGCTCCCGGGTCTTTGGTCCTGGGATTATTGGATGTGAGTGTTATGCATGAATCTGCGTCCGCATTTTTTATTTTTTGTGGTGTGAGTGGGGGGACTAGGGTGGGAAGGCGTGATTGAGACAGTTTTTTTTTTCTCTCCTAGGTTGGGGTCTGAACTGCTCCCTCTCCCAAGCACATCTCAAGTCTCCACCAAGTGCGGAGCCCATTCCCCCGTCCTGCTCTCCCTCCGCTGGCTGGTGTCGGGGCTCGCCAGTGCACTGGTGGAGCTCAGACGGCTTGGCTGGGGCTCCTGCCGGGGGGTGGGGCGCCCCTGGGGCATTGGCTCCCTGCAGCCCAGGGCCGGATTTACTTCGGGGTGGCTGGCTGTCTGCGGTCTCATCCCCGGGGCTCCCAGGGCTCCGCTATTGCGGTGGCTGGGGGGCTTCCTCTGGGCTGTCTCTCCTCCTCCCTTAGTGGGGGTCGGATTTCCGGGGCTGGCCCCTCCTTGGTGCCTTCGCTCTTTGGGTCCCTTTAGGTGCCTGGGGCTTTGGGTCTCCCGGCGCTGGACTCAGTGCTCTGGGGGGGGCGCCTCTTCGGCTCTCCACAACCACTATTGAGCTTTTTCTCTATGGATAAACTTTACATGCACAAGTTCACCCTCACAAACAACTACAGGTGCTTGGCTTCAGGTACTTAGAGATTCACTTCCACACAGAAACCCCACATTCATATCTTCAGGTCTGCGATGGACTGGTGACCTGTCCAGGGTGTAGCCCGCCTTTCGCCCATTGACAGCTGGAGATAGGCACCAGCACCCCTCGCGACCCCAATTGGGATAAGCGTGTTTAAAAATGGATCGATGATCTTCAGNGAGAGAGACGGAGTATTAGGGCCACGGTAGAGATCGGTTTTAAGTTTTTACTTTGAGAATAAAGGTGCAATATTACAAGAATGAAGTCATCAAACAACAACTCGTTTCAGAAAGAAAGCTTGGAGCTCCGCCCAGCAGATGATGGTCAACCAGCTCCACCAATCAGCAACCAGAGTCCACTTTGACATCCTGCCCAGTTTAATGCTGCTGATAGAAGATTTCCTGATTTGTCAAACTGATGCTGAAGTAGAACTTCCCATGATGCTCCACATTCCTCATCTAATAGTTCTCATTAAATACTTTATTCTCGCAATATTACGACTTTATTCTCATACATTTAGGACTTTATTCTCATAATATTGTCACTTTATTCTCGTAATTTTAAGACTATTCTCATTGGGACTTTATTCCAATGAGCGGACGTTGGAGAGCAGGATTGATGGCAGCGGTGGTCTGAGGGATCTCTCTTTAGCTTCGCAGTCAGCCACTGCAGCCATGCTTTCCCCGTCTCGCGCATCTCTTCCTCCGTCCGTTATTTTCCGGTGTTGTCTTGTTGACATCCGTTGTTAGCACTTCGCAGCTTTTTGAACAGTCAAAAATGTCCATCCATCCATCCATCTATCATCTATCCATCCATCCATCATCCATCCATCCATCCATCCATCCATCATCCATCCATCCATCATCCATCCATCCATCCATCCATCAGCGGCTCTACTCTGAGTCCTTCCCGGCTGACTGAGCTCCTCCCCCTATCTCTAAGGGAGAGCCCAGACACACTATGGAGAAAACTCATTTCAGCCGCTTGTATCTGGGATCTCCTTCTTTCTGTCATGACCCAAAGCAGGGGTAGGAACGTAGATCGACCGGTAAATCCAGAGCTTTGCTTTTTGACTCAGCTCTCTCTTCACCACAACAGACCGGTACAGGACACGCTTCACAGCAGACGCCGCACCAATCCGCCCATAAATCTCCCGCTCCATCTTCCCCTCATTCGTGAACAAGACCCCAAGATACTTAAACTCCTCCACTAGGGGCAGTACATCCTCCCCAACCCAGAGAAGGCACTCTCCATGGTCTCGGCTTTGGAGGCACTGATCTTCATCCCGACTGCTTCACACTCGGCTGCGAACCGCTCCAGTGAGAGCTGTAGATCACGGCCTGATGAAGCCAATAGAACCACATCATCTGCTAAAACAGAGATACAATCCTAAGGCCACCAAGACAGATCCCCTCAAGACCTTGGCTGCACCTAGAAATTCTGTCCATAAAAGTTATGAACAGAATCAGTGACAAAGGGCAACCTTGGCGGAGTCCAACCCTCACCGGAAACTAGTCCGACTTACTGCCAGCAATGCGGACCAGGCTCTGACACCGGTCATACAGAGACCTAAGAACCCATATTAAAGGGCCAGGTACTCCATACTCGTGGAGTACCCCACACAGGAGCCCCCCAGGGACACAGTCGAATGCCTTCTCCAGATGCACAAAAAAGGGTGTCAGCCCTGTGGCTGGCTGGCTTGTGGGCCCTGCTGCTGGTCCCTGGGCTATGAGGGTGCTACTGGTGGGGCCCTCATCTCTGGTGGGGCTCTCGGGGAACAGGGGTGCCTACTGGAGTCAGTGGGGAAGCTGGCTCCCTGGGAGTGCAGTAAGCTACCCAGTCCTTTGCTCCCCATTACCACGGTCGGCTCCCCCCATCCCCTCTCGCATTTAGACATTGAGAGTTCTGGGTTGTCGATTGGGGGGTGCGCTGGCACCACCTGTCTCCCGGAGGGGGGGTGGACTATGCTGGACACCCCCTTTTGGTACTCCCAGTTTTACACCTGAGAGCAACACACAACAACACCACATTCAAGCAGGTGCAGGGAAGATCGGGGTATTTCTCACTCCCCTGTTTCCTGGCTGCCACCCGGAGTCTGGGTTCTGGAGGAAGAGTGAGCCGCCTGGTCTGTGGTCTTAGCGGGGTGCTCTTCCTCAAAGACGGTTGGAGGGATGGGCGTGTAGTGGCTAGGTGAATTATTTTGGGAGTTGGCCTGCGAGGGACATGTGGGCCCCGATCGCAGGGGAGCTTTTGCTGGGGGTGGTCTAGTCCGTGTGCGGGATGGGGGTCTGGGTTCGAAGCAGGAATGAGATGGGTTGGTGTGGTGGTGTCGAAGGCTCCCCTCCCTCCGATCCGGATTTTAGGTTCACTTTTTGGGTCATTCGATAGTCCCGAGACCAACCACCGGTGCTCCCGGGTCTTTGGTCCTGGGATTATTGGATGTGAGTGTTATGCATGAATCTGCGTCCGCATTTTTTATTTTTTGT